ATTTTCTGGCAGTAGTAACTGTAAAAAAAAATTTTTTTTTAAACTTTTATGCAAATCCTCTCAATAATGTGTGTCTTTGAGGGCCTGTTTCACCTTCAAAGCTAAAAACAGCTTTAAATGAATAATTTCACACCAGGAGTGTGGAGACTGATAACAATACTTGAAGGACGATGAGAGAGCATGAAAATTAAGAGAGAACAACAGAGAGGGAGAGAGGATGGGGGACTGAATGAGCTTAGAGGTAGGTCTGTCGCAATAATCAATATATCGACTTATCGCACAATATATGTACATGACCTCCATAATTTTTAGTGATGCAATATATTGCCCATTATATTTACATAAAAATTAATGTCACCATGTTTTTTGCATTCCACTTGTGCCCGTGTCTTTTGCAGCTTCTCGTACATAACGTGATGTAGTGAGGTGCTCGTTCAAATTTAAAAAATGCTTCTATAAAAAAGTTTAATCTGCAGATATGGCCTTGTTTAGGGATCTGTGCCTTTGTGCATACGGACATCTGACTGCTAAGTAGGGATTGTGTTTTTCAGCAATAGTGTGCACCCTTAATTTACAGAGAAAAGAAGGTCTGGGAAAAATCTGTAGATGGAAAAATCTCCATACAAGTTCTTTGTGAATTTTTCTTTTTTCTACTTACTATGCACTTTTTGTTTGAAAATGTTTATTTACTATTTATTAAAGTTTTTAAGGTATCTAATATGTTGATACTTAATTTCCATGATCTAAATATTCTTAAGAATTATACTACGGGGGCTGTTGAATGCTTGAATCTGATTGGCTGACGAGCGTTCTAAGGTGTGCAATTATTTTCAGGGAAATGCACAGCGAACGTAGTTCCAGGCAGCTCTGGACCGCATTACATGTCCATATCACTTCGCCATACGATTTCTGTTATTTCAAAGGTCTTACAACAGCACAATAACCAAAACCCACAACAACACTGGCCAGACAAATAAATATATGATAAAAACGACAGATCATTTTCATGTTTTGCCACATAATTATGTTTTATTATGTAGGTAAAGCACATACTCTATCTCTCCCGCTCTTTCTCCCTCACAGACGCACATACATAACTAATAGTACAGAAACATACCCACGCTAACGTTGTAATCGCTACTCTGGCAATTTTATTTTAAAAGCTACATGATATTTCTCACAATTGAGGTAACAACGGCGCTCTTCGTGAAAAAAATGAAATTAAAGTTTCACTGTTAGTAGAGAAGCTGCTGCCGAACAATTTTGAGAGACACAGACTCAAAGAGGTAATATACTCGTGCTCTCTCTCTCTTTCTCTCTGTCTGTCTAATAACTTAATTAATATCTGCATTAGTCTGCTATCAACGGCTCAAGCCTCTGTTACTATAGGTCTAAAATTATGTTTTGGAATTAGCAACAGAGGCGTTGGATGAGATGCGGAAGAAATTAATCCTACTCACAATGCGTTTTAAGTACAAAAACCGGACTCCGCTTCGCATCATGGCCGCATCACCACCTCGGGTGTGCATTTTTTTTTCTAATAATTCAACGACCCATTGTCAATGGTTCCTTACTTAAAAGTTTGTTGTCATTTGAAAGTGTGTTGGCCTTCTTGCATTATTATGCTTTTATATTATGATTATATATTTAGTGGCATAAAATGGTCTTAAAATGACAATAATATTGTTTATCGCAATTATTTCTGGGGCAATATATCGCATAACAAAAAGTTGTTATCGTGACAGGCCTACGTAGAGGGGCACAGTGTCAAGTTCATCAGTATTATAACACACAGAGTTTAATCAATTACAGGAGTGACAACTGCAGTGTGCAAACAAATGTACTCTTTTGCTTAGTGTTATTCTCACATTTGTCTCCTGTGAAAAAGATCCAAGCAATCTCACATCTCCACTAGAATGTCTGAAGAAATCTCAGAAATGTCTCAAATAATGTTCAAAAACAAAAGTCTGCAATCAGATCTGCAACACAAAAATCAAACCATTTTTATTTTTCGAAAACACCAAATTATCTGAACAATGCTACCCAAATGAAATTTATGGCTCTATAATTTTACTGTATGTTAACATTTATGTTATATACTATTTTTCTCTCTCTCTTATGTTCACTAAGGCTACATTTATTTGATTAAAAACATAAAAACAGTAGTATTGTGAAATATTATTATAGTTAAAAAAAAATTCATTTTGAACATATTTTAAAATGTAGGCTAACTGTCTTGATACTTAAGGTGAGCATTAATATATAAACACACAATTTTTATTTATGTTTTTTAAACAAAGCATTATTTTTTTATTATTAAAATCTATTTATTTATTCATTTTTTTAACCTCTGTTTTATTGTATTAGTAATAACATGGAAGAATAATTGTATAAAATTAATTTTGTAATTTGCTGAGTTGATATTCCATGCAGAAAATCTAATAAGAAATACATTTGAAATATATTTTAAAATGTAATTTATTCCTGTGATGGCAAAGATGAATTTTCAGCAGCCATTACTCCAGTCTTCAGTGTCACATGATCCTACAGAAATTATTATAATATCCTGATTTGCCGCTCATAAAACATTTCTTATTATTATCAGATTTGAAAACAGTTGTGCTGCCTATTATTTTTGTGGAAACAGTGATAATTTTTTTTCAGGATTCTTTGATGAAATGATGCCAAAGATAAAGCCAAGCTCCTAGCTCTCCAGTCATTCTGGGATTACTGTACTCCACCGAGAGAGAGAGAGAGAGAGAGAGAGAGCAGCATCACCATGTGAGAATGAATCTTTGTCGACTAAAGCCTTGAAAGCAGAGATGTCAAAGGACGCTAGAGTCCCTCTGAAGGAGCAACAATAAATATTGAATGCCACACAACAGCAACACAGACATGAAAATCCATTCACTGAAATAGAGTGAACATTAGATTGAGGATTTCCAGGAAATCATCAATTCAAATCCCACCAGCAGCTAGAGTTCACCACAAAGCATTCATCCAGAGACTTTCCATTAAAACAGTGTTTGTGTGTGAGAGAGGGAATAAGGCAAATAGAGAGAGAGAGAGAGAGAGAGAGAGAGAGATGAAATATATATTATTTAAAAAAGGAGAAATAATAGAAGTTGAACTAAATTCAAATTTGAACACATCCTCACCACATCCTCTTTGTTACTTTAATTCAAATGAATTCAAATTAAATTTCTGAATATAAGGCATCCTCAAATAAATAATGCTATTTCCTTCATTTTACCATTAATGACTATAATGTCATCTTTAGCAACCCCCGGCCAGGAATTTACTTCCAAGAAATAATGGATACATTTTAAAACACTTTTTAGGAATCCTGAATCAGTTTACTTGCATGTGTACAACATAGAGTACCAGAAAATTCCCACACAGTTGGGATTAATTTGATGACTCTGATTTCAGACTCACCCTGACAGCACCCCCAAAACCAAGTTGAGCATGAAA